TGGGGGAGCCGGGGCTCATGCGTGAGTGCTCAGACGATTTCTCTGCTTAGTTTTCAGCGCTGCTCTGTCTCCTGGGTGAAGGATGGATTATGACTGTGCGGGTGCCTGGTTATCACCACTGAAGGAGATCCTGGTGCTTGGCGGAGATGAGGGACTGGTTCTCCCACATGCCCTCTGGGGGGTGTTGGAGATGCCCAGCTCCTTGCGGGATTGTGTTTGATCCTGGGGCTCTGTGCTTGTGCGTTGCGCTGCGAGATGGAGCAGACTTGAATCTGCTGGGTTTGAGAGTTCGGAGTGATTTTGGTGGACAGTGAGCCTCAAGCTCACTGGGTGGAGGGTGTGGGGGACTCCCACGGCCTTGGAGTCCCGGAGTCCCACAGAGACTCTTCTTTACCTTTACTATTATTTTCCTTTTATCAGATATCCCTATCTGATGGGATTCTTTTACCCAAACCTATGAGACCGCCTGCTTTAGATAGAGAGAGTGCATTTTGCTCGTCCTGTTTGTCTTTCCTTTTGCCTCTTAAAAGCATTTTGCAATACAGATGTGGGGAGGGGATGCTTTGCGTGAGCCTGGGGAGCTCCCAGGAGACGCGGTGGGGTGTAAACCATCTCGTGCCCCTTGCTGCATGTGCTGGGGAGAGCTGCAGGCTTGGCAGTGCTGGAGAACAAGAGGAGCCGTGATCTCAGTGCTGTCATGGGGATGTGTGGCGAAGGAGATGGGGACGTGGCGAGGCTGGGCTGGTACGCCCTCTGCTTGCATTAACAAGGTTCGGTGTACCTGGGACTGCGGAGTGGATTGTTGGCTTGTTCCCTCTGCAGGACTGCTTGGTGTTGTGTGTCCTGTGGGTTGAGATGTGCTGCGCTGGTCATTGATAGCTGGGGTTGCTGTGCACTGAAATGTGCAATCCCAGACTGTATTTTTTTTTCAGGGGCAAGTAAATTTGCTGGGTTAAAACTTTAATTTTGATGGGTGGCAGATGGAGATCACCGGGAATTTCAGCAAATGGGTTTGACTAAACAAATGAGGGGAAGAGGTTTTGACAAGCCTGAAGGGAGGAACATTTTGAAGTGCCTTAGAAATGACCCTGTATCCCTGAGCAGTGCCCATCTGTGTGCTGGCTCCTGAGTGTTCAGGGCAGAGCTTTGACACCATTTACATCTGTCTGTGGTGCTCAGGCATCAACAGGGCTTCTGGGGGATGTGGCAAGGGGTAGATGGATGTTGGGAACAGTGGCAGGGTCCTTCTTCAACCCCCCCTGCTCCAGGGGGTGACAGCAGCACTGACTGTGACCCCAGGCAGTTTGGGGCCTCTCTTCTGGGGACCTCCACCTCGATCTTGCTGTTAGACACAGCTGGAAGAGGCCGGTTTTGAGCCTCTGTGAGGTTTCTCTTCAGATCCCAGGGCTGGGCTGATGAGGGGTCCCCAGAGGGAGAGCTCTTGTAATATTCTGTAATATAAATACCTGTGGCTCAGTTCCTCTCCCAGGTTCATTGCCAGTGCTGCCTGTGATGGCAGGGGGTGAAGGTGAGGATGGGATGATGTGATGGGTTAACCCTGACTGGACACTGGGTACCCACCCAGCCGCTCTATCCCTGCCCTCCTCAGCGGGACAGGGGGGGGAAAAACACATCGAAAGGCTTGTGGGTGGAGATAAGGACAGGGAGAGATTACCCTGAGTTACCGTCATGGGCAAAACAGACTCAACTTGGTGAAATCAGTTTAATTTATTACCAGTCAAATCAGAGAAGAGGATAACCCCCCACCCCCGAATCTTAAAACACCTTTCCCCCACCCCTACCTTCTTCCTGGAGCGGCACAGGGGGATAGGGAATGGGGGGCAGGACTGGAGCCCGCTGGGCTCCCAGGCGTCACTGCCGAACGGTGGGAGGGCTGCTCGGCTGTGCCGACAGCTCCAGGCTGTGCAGTCCCCTGGGTGCAGGAGGCTCCAGCAACGCAGCATCCCTGAGGATGGATCTGGGTGCTTCCCTGAGTGGGAAGGTGACTCTCACAGCCCCAGTGGACTTGGCTCTCGGCCTTTTTTGCTCCGTTGATCACTGAGCTGCATATCGCAGCTTGCATCCTGGCTCGCGCCTCGCTGCCACACTGCAAGGGATAAGGAGGCGCCTGGCCCCCTTCCACCACGGGGCAGGAGTTTTGCGTGGGAACTGCCAGCAGAATGCCCTGCTAGGCCTTCGCAGGCTCTAAATATCTTAGGAGGCAAATAAAACAGCAAGTGGCATTAGCTGGCTGCTTGGCTGGGTGCCTTCTCAAGGCCCCTGCAGGTTTCTGAGGTTAGGGCTGAGCACTGCGGGGGGCAGGCAGCCCAAACAGAGCCGTGCTCTTTGTCTGGAGGCCTTCAGAGACTGCCGGGTTGTTATTTGTCTCTCCCCCGAGCCCAAAGGGGCTGCGATTTATGACAGTGGTACAATAGGTGTCTGTTGGCAGTGATGGATTGGGCTGTCCAGAGAGCATCCCTCCTTCCCTCCCTCGCTCACTCTGTCCTTTCTGTTGCTTTTCCTGTGGTTTCAGGCAGTTTTGCTGGTGTAAATTCAGCTGGATCAAGCCAGTGCCCCTGCCAGAGAATAAGCCAAACTCTGGGGGAAAAGGCAGCTTTTCTAGCGAGCAAACAGCCTTTCCAAGTTGCCTGCCTCTCTGTGCCAGGACTCTTTGGCTGTGAAGTTGGAGCTGGGGGGATGTTTTAGGGTACCTGAAGGCACTGGGCAGTGTGCGGTAGGTGCTGCGTGTCCTGGTACACACTGCCACGTCGTGGGGCTGAGTGGCACATCCTGGCTCTGGAGGGCTTGGTCTTTCGTCAAAATGATGCTTTTATGGATGGTGTGTGTGTGTGGCATTGCTCCATCGTGGGATGAGGGACGCTGCTCTGCCCTGCTGCCCTCGCCGGGCAATTAACCTGCGACTCTGCAGCTCGGGCTGTGTTTGCACTGGGTCTACAAACAGGCAACATAAGACACTCGTGCTGCACTAATCCTGCACCACTCCTCTTTGTGGAAGAAGCCTGGGCAGATGTTTCTGATCCTGAAGAGTTACTGGTCTGTGCTGGTTCTTCCACTCTATGCTGTGGCTGGGAGATGTCTCCATCGAGGCTCCCATTTTTTGGGTCTGTGCACTTTTGTCTCTATCAGCATGGGATCCTGTGGCAGGTTCCTGGGTGGTGGTTTTATGGCTGTGAGCGAGGAGGGGCAGACTGGTGCTGGTGTGTCACCTGCAGGGTGCTGGCCACAAGGAAACCATCCCATTCCTCGTTGTGCGGAGCCTCTCTGCTGCTCTGAGCCCAAGCACATCAGCAGGTTGAGGGCTGGGAGCTGGATCTGAGCCGGAGCCTTGCAGGACTCTCCTGAACACCCAGCAGTGGCAGGGCAGCATCTCTAGTGTCCTGGGGAGCTACTTACCGACAAATGAAGCCCTGACGGGGCTGGTTGTCTATTTTAAATAAAATAGACCAGTGCTGAGCAGAGCCTCTGGGATGCGGTTGGTGCGTGGCATGGCCAAGGCTGCAGCTGAGATGTGTGCCGAGGTGACTCCCTCTGAACACGGGTCTGTGTTCTGCTGTGACTCTGGATCTGGGGAATCGCCCTCGCTCCTCTCCTTTCTGCATGCAGGCAGGGCTGGGCAGTGGGGCGGTGGTGTGGGTGCAGGGTGCTGCCAGCACGTGCCACGTTTGTGCAGAGCTGGCCTGGGGAAGCTCAGTGCAGGAGACCTGGCAGCGTGGTATTCTGGGGAAGGCTGGGACAAGGTGGAGACATACCCTTGTGGCAGGTAAAAGCAAGGGTACTGCAGAGCCCGTGATGTGCCCTGTGTGTCCCAGCTCCCTGTCCTGCCGTGTCCTGCTCTCATCTCCTTTTTTCTCTGGCAGGGACAGGGCAGAGTCCCCAGTTGCTGGAGTGTCTGCCAGCCCCGGCGAAGGGGCAATGCAGGGCTGTACGACCCTCCCTGCAGAAGCAGAGGGGACCATCGGGGAGCAGGAGGAAGATCAGCCGTGCACAAGTGAAGGGGAAAGGTAAGTGACGGGGGTGTGAGAGGGGCTGTGGGCCAGCCAGGGGTCAGCCCTGGCCAGGAGTGCATGGAGGGGCAACCATGGGGAGAACTGGTGGGAGTGCGTGTCCAGCACCCTGGACTCTACAGGAGATCTTGTCCTTTTCTGTCCCAGAGAAGTCAATATATTTAGCATTACTTCAAGTGGACGCAGACTGGGAAATGGAGGTGCGTGCACAGCCCTGGCAGCACGTCTGCTCGGAGCCTGTGCTGGGCTGCACCCCTGTCTCTCCCCCCCTTTGCTTCACCATTCCCTGGACCTGGGGCAGCAGGACCTGTGAATCGGCCGCTCTCACCCAGAAATCCCCTATGGGGCTGATCCAGGCTCCCCCCGCTGTTGTGGACCCTGTAGCCTCACAGCAGTGCCACGAGGCACCGAACTCGTTGAGTGTGGCGTTTCCAGCAGCATGGGGTGGTGTGGGAGCACCTCCTCTCTGCTGGGGACTCTGCTGGAGATCAGTCCCTCATAGGATCCTGCACCATGGGGAGCAGGGCTGCATGGATCCATGGGTGGGAAGCAGAGTTCTGGGGCAGCCCAGGCTTTGGGGAGGTTGTTTTTTTTTTTCAGAGAAACCATCTCCATCTCTCCTCCACGCTCTCCAGACCTTGTGCTCAGCTCTGGGTGCCTCCTGGTAAGCTGTGGCGCAGTGTCTGGAGCCAGAGGGTGCATCATCAGCTCCAGATGATGGAAAGGGGCTGCTCTGGGGTCTTGCAGAGTGACCCCATGAGCCTGGAGCTTGCATGCCTCTTTCCTTGTCATATGAGAGCCAAGCAGGTAACCCATGCCCTGCCATCCCTCCTGTTCTTGGCTCACCCCCCCCAGACCAATTCTCCTGCACCCTTTCCTTGCCTGCAATAATTTCCCCAAAGTGCTGTGAATGCTGCTGGCCCGTGTTGCTCCGGTGGGACAGTTCCCCGGGCAGCGGAGCATGTGCTGGCAAACCTGATGGCACCAATGGTCATGGCGATTACTTACAGCCTGGCACGCTGCAGAGGAGAGGCAGCGTTGCAAGGTTTTCCCCTTTTCTCCCAGGAGCTCATTCTCGATGCATCAGCAGGGTGGCTGTGGGACGGTGCTGGTGTGAGTCTTGTGTCTGCAGGGGAGGGCAGAGCGCTGCTGGCGTCCTTGCGTGCGGCTGCGGCGTGGGGCTCAGGCCTCTTTGCTCAGGCAGGTGCGGTCCCCGTTCAAATCCGCGGGGCCAATGGGATCTGCGCTGTTCAAACGTGCGGCGGTTGGACGCGCGTCCCATGGAAACCCGGCTGCACGGCTGCCTGTCACTCCCTGTGTAAATGGCTTCTTGGCTTCCCCAGGCCCGGCAGGGAGGGCTCCAATTACTGGCTAATTAGAGGTGTTCTGCCATGGAGCCAGGCAATGTCCACAGAGTCTCGCTCTGCACCCGCCAGGCTGAGCCCCTGGGAGCTTCTTTCTTCCTCTCCACGTTCGGTAAGCGTTGAGCCCGCAGCTCCAGGGAGCAGGGGGTGCGCGCGGTGCCCGGGGGATGTGGCTGTGGCCAGTGTGGCACGGGGCGCTGCAGCAGGTCACGACCAAAGCCCAGCACTGCAGGAATGGGCTGGAGAGCTGCTCCCCAAAGGCTCTAACGCCGTGCAGCAGCCTCCTTGCTTCTGCATCGCTGAGCCGGAATAATACACAGCTCCATTGAGCTGGCGAACCAGGGAGTGCCCTGAAACCAAGCCGTGGCCGCTGAGGCGTGCTGCAGCGGTCAGCCAGATGCCGAATAGCCAGGTCATTTGCCCCCTGGATGGGCAGGAGCTGGGATTGCTGTGTGGGGCAGGCCAGGGCCGTGGCCCCTGTTAGGGCAGAGCCCCAATTTCCCTCTTTGCTCCTCGTGGGTCTTTCTGTGGCTGCCTCAGTTGTGCTGCATGGCCTTGAAGAAGCCCACGGGCAGTGGTGGCTCGGCTCTGCAGGCTGGAGCTGGCCCAGCAATGGCTGGGCTATGAGCCCTGTGTACCCACCATGCAAGCAGGTGAATTTGGCAGCAAATGTCATGGCCATTGCTTGTGGTCTGTGATGGCTCGTTAGCCGCCATCTTACACAGAGGGAAGCTGGGTGCCCTTTCTGGGTGCCCCTTTTTGAGCAGCAGTTTTATTTTAGAGCTCCTGTGAGCAGGGCAGGCAATCATGTGGGCTGCGGTTAAAGAGGCTGCGGGGTAGCAGGGAGGGTTACGTGAGCGGAGCGTGGCATCCCTTCCCTGGGCAGCCAGGGATACTGATCCTTCCTCCTTTTGGCTTGTAAGCATCAAGCTGCTGAGGACAGCCTGGAAGCTGCAATCCTCCTGTCTTTGTAGGACTTAGGCATGCCAAACGATGTGAGTTCTGTGGTGCCTCTTGGCTCTGTAACCAAGTCTGGGCCAAGCTTCATCTCTGCAGCTGTGGTTCCCTTCCTGGGCTGACCATCTTTGGCAAGATGCCATGTTGGGTGCTCTGAGGAGGAGAGCAGCAGTGGGACAGGGCAGCGCTACCCTCTCCATGTGGGTGACCAAGGAGAGGGTCTTCAACAGGGCTGGTGCCAGGGCCGAGGTTGGGGTGCTCTGCCTTGTGCCCATGGGAACCTCTTGCCCAGGCAGTTGTCTGACATGGCTTTCCTCTGGCAAGAATCCCCCCTGGTGTGTGCACTGATGGTTCTTGGCTGTCCCAGCCTGGGGAAAACCTGAAACCTGCATTTTTCATACAAAAACCCAGAGAAGTGTTTAAGGAGCAGAACCCCACATTTTCCTTTTGTTGGGGATCATCAGTAAGGAACAGAATTTCCTGCCTGCTAGGTCTGCTCCCAAAGGACAACATCCATGTGTCCCCTCCTGGGAACTGCTCTCATGAGTGGGAACTGTTTCATTACCATTTTGTGCTTGCCCATGCCTGTTTTTTTCCCTGTTTTCCTTATGCCACCTTTGTTCACCAGGTTGAATTGCCTCTCCTGGCCCCATGGGCTGAGAGGGCCAAAGCCCTGCTCTCTGCGGTGGGGTGTGCACCCAGGGTTCTCTTGTGAGATGAGTTGTCTGCTCTTTGTCTCCCTCTGGCCTTTCTCTGCCCCTATTTTCATTTATATTAACCTTTACTGAACACAGGTGACCTGGACAAGCTGTGTCAGGGCCTCTCTGCTGAAGCCGTTTCCCTTAGTTCGTATTAGGGATGTATTGAAAGAGATAAACCCAGGCGATAAGGTTTCTCTGACTCTCTGCTCTTGGAGCAAGGTGGACATGCAGCCCAAGAAGTTGCCTTGACAGGGGTTGTGTTTCTGCCCACCCAGGTGTTGGAGGAAGGTCACTGCTCTGTGCACCTGAAAAAATGCATCTGCTGCCAGGGAGCCAGTCTGTCCAAGCACAGACATGGGTACAGCAAATCCCTTCCACCAGCTGGATTGGCTCTTTCCGACAGCAGCTTCCCCCTCTGATCCCAGCCCCATACAAGCACTGGAATTGCTCCAAAGCCAGTGAGTGCTTCTCTGGCAGGAGCAGGCTGGGACTGCTTTGGGGACAGACAGGCTGGCTGGAGCGTGCGATTTGTCCCTTCTTGTGCTTGGAGATGCTTGGAACCAAATGCATTAAGAGGGAAGTGTCATCTGTTCTTCGTGGGAAGGAGAGGACCTTACCCACCGATACTCCCAAATCCTTTCTGCTAGTGGCCAATTTGAGGTACTTCTGGAAAAGGCAAACCTACCCATTTTCTCCCTGCTCTCCTCTCTTCGGCACTGGTGTAGCCTGCGACACAGGGGCCACAGGCACTGTCCCTGCACCCGATGCAGCAGTGGTGCACATGGTGCACAAGGCTCACAGTCCTGTCTGACCCGATCCCTCATTGTGCCAAGAAGCCTTGTCCCCATGTGCTGCCCCGGGAGCTGAGCAGCCCCAGGCATCCCTGGGCCAGGGCTGGGTGTAGAGCTTCCTCCCCCCGAATTACCCAGCACAAAAGCTTCCTTTCTCCTCCCCAGGGCCCATTCATTACTGGGCTGACTCCTCGTCATGCTTGGTTAGACAAGGGCATTTTGTTTTCATCCTGTAATGGTTGTTACATGCTAATAGTGGAACAGCAAGAGGGTTCCCCCAGCACCAGGGATCTGGAGATAGCATAAGGGTTAAAGTCTTGTGCTGAAAGGCCGGGGTGGCACGACGAAAGTGGAAGACAATATTCTCACTGTTGTAAATCAGTATTAGCTTCAATAGAGCTGTCCTGATTTACCCCACCTGGCTCTTGGCTTTACTTTCTTACCTTGCTCTCACCTGCACAGGTATACCTGCACGTGAAGGCATTTCCACGTGTGCTCTTGGGCATGCAGATGCATACATGGACACACACGTGCGCTGGAGAGAGATTTGAAAATTTTATGTCAATGGCTTTTTGAGTGAAAGATGAGAAATGAGTTCTCAGTCGTTTCAGGTTAAACAATCCCCTAGGATATCCCCACCCCAGCAAACCTAAACCCTTGGGTGCGTCTTTTGCAAAATGAACTGTTGGTTTTTAGGTTGGAAGGTGTTTAGATGTCTGTAAATGCTGTTTACAAGTTTATTTTGTCTGTTGTGTTTTGTAAGCTGGAAAACAAGTGAAAAGAGGGTATTTTGCTTTGGACTAAATGAAATGTCGTGCTAATGATGCTTTCAATCTTTTGATTCTCCAGGAGCATTGGGAAATGTTTAGTTTTGGGTTGGTCCAGAACAACTGCACAGATTTCAGACCCTGCATCACCCCCAAAATCTGCACATCCTATCCAGGCTGGCCAGCAGCAGCTCCCTGGGAATCCCCCTGGGAAGGCGTTTGGAGGGGCAGAGCCCTCCGTGCCTGAGCAGGGCCAGCGAGACGGGGGCTGGTAGCCCGCTGCGCACCCCAGCAGGGCTTCACCCAGACCCTGGCAAATGCCATCAGCCGAGTCTTCGTGCCAGTCTGAGTACTGTGGATAAGATCTTAGGGCTGATGCAGAGTTGCTAGCGCATGGGAAAGCGAGTGTAAAGCTGTAAGGAAGCTGGCAGAGCAGAGCTGCCGCCCTGGGGCTCATGCCCTTGCTCAGCAGGGGTGTACATGTGTGTACCCCCGCGCAGGGTCTGGGACCTCTTGGTTTTTCAATGCTGGGAATCAGTTGCTGGCAGACAGGGCCAGGCAGTGCTGAAAATCACAAATTGCAGCTCCAGATTAGAAGTGGGAGCTCAGGGATCCGGCACGGGCATTTCGCAAGGCAGTGGGAACTGCAGGTTGGATTTGGAGCTGTGTAAGAGCTGGATTTTATCCTCAGCTCTGCTGGAGGTCCCTCACCTATGTGCAGCGGGCTGTGAGCGGTGTGTTCTTCTGCAGGTGTGGGCACTGTGTTTGCAGGTGGTGACTTTGCCTGTCACCAGCCAAAGGCGTGTTTGGGATGCTCCTTCCTCCGTTCTTTCCTTGGAAATAATCCTCCCATCTTGTCCTTGTGCTCCTGACGAGGAGTTTCTGGATTCAGAGCACCTTCAGAGCCTGAGCACCCTTGGCTTTCACATACTTGGGTTTCAGCTGACCCTGTTCCAGGCAGATGAGCTCCTGAGGTTGGATCTGCCCGCGTAGTTCCACCCCGAGAGCAATTCTCAGGCTGAGCCAAGTTTCTCCGGTCTGCACCCTGTGGAGCCCTGGTCTGATGCCTCCCCAGCTCCATCCCTCCCACCTCCTCTCTCTGCTCCCAGTCCGCCCTTCCTCGCTCTCCTAAGGTAGCTTAAAAAGCACTAATGGGTAGAAAAGTTGCCCACTGGGCTGCCGTCTTGTACGGGCAGACTCCGCAGCACCTGTGGGGGACTGCTGAGTCCCACGGTGAGCTCTTGCTGCTGGGCTGTGTCGGTCCTCATGGAGAGAAGGCTCCTCCTGAAAGGTTGCCTATGGAGTGGGTAGGTCCTGAGTCCTCCTTTAACAAGTCAGATCAATCTCCTGCTCCGAGAAAGATGCCGTCGTTTGCTCCAGGCACCAGCTCTTGGCCCTTCAAGCTCTCTTTCTCT